ACATACTTAGTAGTGGGTGGTCGGATCTAATCATGAGTGGTCGAAGGATTGTCAGATATGATCATGGGTGATCGAATAGGGGTGACCGTTTGTCGGATTTGAAGAATAAAAAATGGAAAAAGATAGAATATAAGCAATAAAATATAGTAAAAAGTGAGGTGAAGTAGATAAAAGCGAAAATAATAACTCGGAGATTAAAAATATAAAGAAAATAATATTTTTAAAACATTAAAATTGATAAAATAATAGCATATTAAAAAAAATCAAAAACCCGGTTGAACCGATTCGACCCTATAAACCCATGACCCAAATGGTCGTCCGGTTCTATAGCCGGTCCGGTTCTGATAACATTGGTATTAAACAACATTTTTGTCCGAAAAATGAAGATGTGGGGGTTCAAACTCAAACAAGAGTGGAAACAATGTGTAATTCTTACCATTGGGCCAACAAACATTTTTTTATTAAAGATAGACAATAAATATAAATAATATAAAACGCCGATGTATAAATGACATATAAATTAAATAATTTACTAATATTAAATAATTTTAATTAAATTATCAACAAGTGCAGTATAAGAAACTTTTAAAAAATATAGAGAATTGAATATCATATGATTTAATCATTTTTTTTTTACATTTACATATTATTCAAATATTAGAATCGAATTGTAAGATTTAAATGGATTAAGCTGAAGTACTTTCAATTTTTTTTAATCATATTATATTTGTTAATAATTTAATTAAAATTATTTAATAATAGCTAACAACATAATTAATAATCTATTTAACGTTATTTATTATAATCATTTTACACTTTTTGTTTATGTTATATATATTCCATTGTTATAATAATCATAACTATAAATATAGAAATATAAATAACACCGTAAAATAATTATAATAATTGTATAACAAATGTTTAATAAATTATTAATTGACATGTTTCACTATTATTAATATTAAAAATTTCCACTAATAACAAATGCATATATATATATGTGTGTGTGTGTGTGTGTGTGTGTGTGTGTGTGTGTGTGTATTTAATTTTAAAAAATATAAAAAATTACGATTTAACTTAAAAGAAAGATTGAATTTTGATTTTTTTTTTAATTTTGAAATTTTGAAAAATTTCTCAATTATTATTTTCACTCATATATACCCCTAATACAATCTTCACAATTTTCATTTTATTTAATTTATGTCTCAAGGTCCTAATCGTTTCATTTTTTCTAAAATTGTTTAGTGTTTAAATTCAATTTTTCTTTTTTAATTTTGAATTTATAGTTAATTTCAAGTTTTTTCAAGTTTCAATTAAATTTTTTTTTTCTTTCTTGTAATTATTTGAAAAAAAAAACACGAAAACCGGTTTGGACCCAGACCCGGATGGACCCGAGTGGACCTGCCCCGAACCCGCCTCCCCACAAGTGGGTTTTGGGTCCTCTAAAAATCGGATCCAAACCCGACCCGCTCCGTGGCCATGTCTAATTGTATCCCAACGCCCTCATCATCATTAACTATAAAATCTTTTACGACCAGAAACTGAAATACATTCGAATGTCTAGACGGTGCATGACTAGAAGATGGCAATCCAACAATTAATAAAGAATTAATAAAAATTCTTTTACAATTTATAACCAATTAATAAACAATAAAATAGAGGTGCTCTTTGAGATAACTTCCATTACTTCTTTTAATAGGGTAAGTTTCAAATATTTTGCTTCATTTGAGGAAAGCCCACACCCATTTCCATTCATTATTTTTTCCATTTTACCCCCGCCCGCCACATCATCATTGTATCACATGCCCACATTATCATTGCGACACGCGCTGGTCATCAGCCTTTTTTTTCCTTCATCTTTTTAACTTTTTTTATGAATCAGTTTTATTAATCGACTATGAAGGATAGACAATTAAGAAAAATCGACTTGAAACATAGTCAATTAAGAAATTTATTTATTTTTTTAATTTTTTTCGTTTTTAAATTATTTTTCTCTATCAGGTATATTAATCGCCTATGAAGCATAGTCGATTAAGAAGCTGACTACTAAAAATAACAAATCACAGCTACAAAAAAATCGAAAATCAACTATTTTACAAAAAAAAAATAATGTACAAACACTATAATTGATTTGTACAATTGGAATCAATAACAAAAAAAAAAAAAATTTAAACATTGGAGTCGATTAACCTTAATCGACTACTGAATATAGTCGATTAAACCTTAATCGAATACTGAACACGAACAGTCTACGCGGATTTCTCTATCTGCGCTGTCCTCCGCCCGATCTACCAAAAAAATCCTAAATCGCAACACCACACAATACCATAATCCTTGCAACTTCATCCCATTCCATCTCACACCTTGCGACTTCATCCGACCCACAATCCTTCAACCCAAATAAACCATTTTTCTTCTCCAACTAGATTTAGATTGAAACCAAAAGCAGAACATAAATCTAGATTGAAACCAACTAGATGAAAGAAATTTTTTTAGAGCTACTCAAAAGATATGGTTTTCTGGCGTCGATGACTTGAGACATGGTCTTCACTCTCCGTTGCCGCTTCCATCTTCTCCACCGTTGCCATGGTCTTCACGTCTCCGTCGCCGATGACTTGAGACATGGTCCTCCGCCGCTGCTGGTGTTTCTGTGAGTAAAGAGAACGGAAAAGAGAATGAAGAACGATGAAAATTAGGGTTGGGATATATATGGACTTTATAATTGTAGTTTGGGGATTATTAAAAATTCATTTTTATAGGTTCAAACTCGCTTCATTTATTTTTTCGAGCTTCAGGTTCATTTCGTACTAACATAGATCTATGCATATATTGCAAACTTGAAAACTTTATATATCATAAGAAATGAAGAATCTACATGAACAACTCAAGTTTATTCAATAATCTACCCCCAATTTATAGAATTACTTGATGTAAAGTTGAGATGCAAAACTCTCTTCCACGATAATGAAGAGCAACATAACATAAAAAAAAAAGCACATTCTATATAAATACAATTTTATGTCGCATACATTTCATCCTGAAGTGAAAGAAGATTATGTATCTTTTATACTGAATTTTTCAAAAAAATAAAATCTTAATTTTGTTTTCAAGATTATCTTGAATATATATGTACTCGTAGTATTAAAATAATAAATACGTTAAATTTTTAAATGTTAATTTAGTCGTGCAGGGTTAATGTGGGTTAAGCCGTAGTAAACTCAAACTCGGCTCATATATTAATCGAGTTTACGAAAATGACTCAAGCTCGTCCGGTTAATTGTAAATCGGTCTTGACTCAAATATGCTAGAATAACGCGTAAATAAACCTTGTTCGAATTTATCGCTAGCTCCTGGACTTATATTACTAAAATTTTGGGAAGGTAATCGTGCTATGTGAGCGAGCTTGTTTTGGCTCAACTCAATTCCAGTCGGCTAATCTGCCACCAATGTTATAACTTGAC